ATAAAATATATGATAATTGTGTAAATTATTTTGTTTTATTGCTTTAAAAATTGACTGTCGGACTGCACAGGATCGTGATACGTATTCGTTGCGACGCGAAAAACTCACCGGTCTCCTTGGGAGAGAAATTCGGCTGCGAACCGTGCGAGGAAGCTGTAGGTTTGATACAGTGCACGAGAGATCTCGGCTTGAACTTACATGGCTTCAGCTTTCACGTCGGTACCCCGTGCTTGGAGATGGACGCCTATCGCAGAGGGATCGAAATATGCAAGCGGTTAATCGCAGTTGCCAGGTCGGTCGGCTGCAACGATGTGGAGCTGATCGACATCGGCGGTGGATTCTCGAGCGTCTGTGGAGAGGAGCTCGACGAAGTACGTGCCTTCTATTAATTCAAATATCAGCGTTATTGCTAATATTGTTTCATAACTTTTTCAGCTAGCCGAACTCATTAACGGGGCGATCAAGAATTTAGATCCTAATATAAGAGTCATCAGCGAGCCCGGACGGTACTATGTAGGTTCGAACTTTACCTTAGCCTCGTACTTGCATTCCAAGAGGCTCGCCATTGGCAACGATGGCGGGGAGAGGAGAATGTATTATATGAATTGCGGCGTGTACAACTCATTCTTGGATGAATTGCTGGGCCTACAAGCTAGAATTCCAGAAACTGTTTTTGAAGTAATGACATGGTTCGCTTAGCTGTGCATCGCGAAGTTGTATATCTTGTTAAGATCTCGCACGATCTTAATCGTTAATTTATCATTGCAGCCAGCTAGTGATGAAAAATTTCTTTCAAATATATGGGGGCCGACTGCCGACTCGTATGATTTAATACTTAAAGATGTGTCACTGCCTGAACTTTATATAGGCGACTGGTTAATTTGGAAAAATATGGGCGCTTATACATTAGCTCTTTCCAATACATTCAATGGATTCCCGATTCCAACTGTGAGATCATTTATTAAGAAAAGCCAGTGGTTAGTGTTTCATATATTTACATAAAAATATATTTAAAATATCTCAAATAATTGCAATGGTGATAAGGATATTTAAGATAAACTTTTTTTTATAATTTAATAATACACGTATATTGATTTTTTTGCAGGGAAAGTTTTCTGGCACAAATTCATTAGAAGAGCATTTTATTTAAAAAAATAACATATTGTTGAAGAAATTAGATAATTATATGATAAATATGCAATCTGATTATCATTTTTTGTTTCATATTTTAAACATTCTAAAATGTTATATTAAATATCATATCTCTTTCATATTCTCTTTTTATTATATAATTATAATAATTTCTGAATTATTCTCATTTTATTTTCGACTTCCATTATCGAATTGCAGATATCGGATAGCATTTAGAAATTATTTTACTTTTATGTGTATTTTATTGTTAAATGACACATTGCAAAATATAAAATATTAATATTGCAAAATATAAAATATTAATATTCTTACAACTATATTTTTTGAACATTCTTCGAGAAAATCTTAAAAAAAATCACGATTGATATAAAAAATAGGTAGACATAAAAAAGGAAAAATAGAAAAGAAGAGATAAGGAAAGAAAATGCACAGAGGAAAAAATAAGAAGAAAGAAAATAGAAAGACATATCCGTTTAGAAAGCTTTACAAATCTTCAGATAAACAATATACTATATATTGATAATTTTGTACAATACAGAAAAATTCTGTTTTATTTGCAATTCAATTTATACGGTTTTTTTTTAATGCACAGAATTGCCAAGATCGTCATTAATAATTGCGATTTATCAAATATTACTTATGAAAATATCGAAAACAATTCATTTATTATAATATTTACGATTCTTTGAGTCACGTGTCATCCATATATATATTTTATTATTTTATTAAAATGATTACAACATGCAAATTATACGAATATTACAATTATACGAATAGTACAATTGATTAGATGTAATCTAATTTCGACTGTAATGAAAGAAAGGTTGTAAACTTTCGGTGAATGTATAGGGATACACGGTTGATTTACATGCAACGAGTGACGCAAATGACCTCGCGATTACGTACACGGGCTACATTACATTATAATTATCCGACTAATCTTTATTCCCAACAATAAACCGCAGCAACGCAGATAAGAACTGCGGCGAAGGGGACTATAAAAAATACACAGCTTCATCCCGAATTGCACCCCTTTTAATGAGCACCGAACAAAACGAGCGGAAGAGCGTTCCATATTTCATCGCGGCTGAGGAAACTCAACCACGCTCGGCCCATTGACATCGATTCTCGCTGCTATCTTTTATCTTTATCGCGAATCCTCGTAATAACCGCTTAGAGTTATATGGCACAAAGAACTGGCCCGTTTATCATTCGCAGATATCACACAATAAGACGATTATGTCAAATTAATCCATCAGAAAGTAGATCATTATGATTCTTTCTTAATCTTAACGATGATTTAATAACGCGAAGATAACAGATTGAAGATATACATTTACATACATTTAATAATAATTTAAAACAGATTTAAGATAAAATGTTTTTGTCGGTTTTATTATTTTGATTGACATCATCGCCACTTTGTAGATACTCAGATGAGATCATCGCTACAGTCGTCATTGTTTTTGGTCAAATTCACGGCCAGAATTCATTTCACGGTCACGATTATCTCTTGGAACAATCGTACGACTCGCACGTGTATACAATATATGCAAGGCAATCGAGCGAAGGTAAAATTGATTGCTCGCTGTCAGAGCACCGATTTGCGACGTCCATTTCTTTTCTCGTCTCAGCTCGGTCCTTTTTTCCTTCTCTGCCCACTTCCGGCATCTCTTCTTCACCACTGCGCCCGAAACCATCGAGAGATTCGGGCACTAAGTATGCATAGCCCGGTTTCCGGTTGCCGAGTATGCGTTTGGACTTTATCTTTGCCCCTTGGGTCGATTCGTAACTAGTTGGCACAGTGCCATGCATAGAGGCGTGCTAATAAGTGTACCAGTTTCGATATAGCGATATCGTTACGTTCGCTAATATTCGAGTAGTTCTGACAAATGCTGCGATACCCGCCATCGTCAGAGTAATCCATTCGTGTCTCTCCTTCAACATCCTCGCGTTCTTTTTCTACACTCGCTCAAATATCCCTTGCTTGCAATTAGTGTTGGATTGAACGTATATCCAGTAAGAAAATTAGCTTACAAATACGTGATTTATTTAACAAAAATAAACATATTTCATGTTTTGACTAAAAATCTATTCTTAGAGAAATACACAAATACACATTGATATATTTATGTATATTACGTACAGATATAATCTCAATCAGCTTAGACAGGAGCAATCTACATTCAACCATTTCAGAAAAGTAAATTATCTTTTTTTATATTTATAATTATATATTTCTTTATATTTTAAATCTTGAATTTTTTATAATATAAGATTTCCTTTTATTTTACCCGAGATTATTTAAAATGTCTCAACTATTAAGAATAAAAAATAAACACCTTATCAGTTTTTTACGCTCGTTCGCTAAACCATAATATAATTATTAAATATATTGGTATTTTATAAAAAGCTATGTAGCCTTTTTAAAGCCTTTTTAATATCAAATCTATCAGAAGTTTCTTCACAATGTAAATGCATCGCAAGGATCGTTTACTGGATTACACGTGGCGGAGGAGTTTCAGGAAGGTGGGGAAAATATCGTTCAACGATGATATGAGAGCGAATGTGAAAGATAAAGCTGGATTACGATCGGCGATCTATCGCAAGTTGAGTTTTGTGGATTAACCCCTTGCGCTCGTAGATCCAACCGGGTTAATCGACGTTCGAGCACTCGAGGCATTCTAACCCCTTTTTTTCTCTTCGGCGTGCGGCTTGATTGGCTTCACCGCAGTTTTCACGGAGAAAATGGCGAATCGGTTGTCAACCCACTGCAAATACACGATGGATTAAAGATCGAGGTCGCGAAGATCCTCGCGATTCGACCGGTCATCTTTTTCTCCCTTTCTCCCTTCCCGATTCTTTTTTGACCGGGTCTTGTATTTTCGGCGAAGGATCAATTTCATGCGCGTTACGCTGTGAATGACGCTGCTTTAATAACTTTGAATTGCGGTCATGCTGAATCAATAGTCGGTCATGCTCTGTCACGAGATCTGTGTCTCGTTTCGACGCGCACGCTTTCCAGAAGGATTAGCAGGAAACGAAGCAATGAATTCATTAAGTCGCGTTGAATAATCACAGATGGTTAGATAAAAATTATTCTTCATGAAAATCTGCTTCATGGAATGAAGCAGAATACATCGTTAACGAGCGCTCTTTCACGTGATGATTTTTTTGGTATTCATATGTGGCTCAGATAAAAAAAAAGTAAATAGAAAACTTATGTTTTAATATTCTAAACAAGCACACGTTTCAATGTGGCAAGATTGTTGAATTGTTTACTTGTTAATGAAGACATTATGCTATCTATATCTGCGTTTATTTAAGAAAAATGTTACGATTGCTAATCAGATGTATATTTTTCATTTAATAATTTTTTGGAATCACTTTTACTACTATGTGTAATATATTATTGTAAGATCTCAAGTTGAATTTTATTAAATCAAATTATCTCCATTTCTGTAAAATTATTTTAACACGTTACACATCTTGATTAAATAATTTATAGTTAATTATTACGGTTTTTAACCGATATTTTGTTTTGCAAGCAAAATATGAAAAATGCGCGACTTTGTGATATCGTGCGTACTTTATTCGTTCAGGTCACAAAACTTGGCAGATAAAACAACACGTTCGCTATTTATTTGTAATTTTAATTAACGGATTGTGACCTGCCACATTATTTGGAAGCTTTTGAGTCCTTTGAAGTATTGTTACTTCAATGCGTAATATATATTATTATATACCGGAACACGTTGTAACGATCATTTAATTAATTCACGGCGCGGTTTTAATAAAATATAACGTTGCGCATGGCACGCATGCAATTTATGCTTAAAAACATATCGCGGACTTTATGAGTCAACGGGCGCATGCGTCAGCGTCCTTTGTGAAAATTCAATCAGCTTAATTCCGCTGTGCTTACCGTAAATTAATGTTATGTAACATGCGGCTGTATTTTAGAATCGCGAAACGCGGTACGCAGTTTTCGCAGCTGTTAACACGACGATTCGTTAATAAACTCACTCCTATGAGTTATCCATGTGAGTACAAGATTTTTCGTGAATATTTTTTCCATCTTTTTAAATTAAATAATAAATTAAATAATTTTTTTTAAATTAATCTAAGCTACGCTATGTACAACAAAAAAGATTATCGAGGGCTGATAATTATTGATGATAACTATTGTATATGATATCATTTTAATTTGAAAGGCACCAATTGTTTACAATTATATTGCAAATTGAATCAGAAAAATTGAATCAAGTCTATTTTCTCGATCGCGCGACATCGGGGATGATTTTTAGGAGGGTTCGTTCGCAGACTCGTGTTTTTCATCTCGAGATGCTCTAAAGACAAGTTGAAACAGAGGAGTGGATCAAAGGAATCGACGTACCTAATTGCTATTTACGAGCAATCCCCTCTCCGCGAGCGAGCCAGTTGCCAGTTGTCATTCTTTTTCTCGAAAAAGCGATCGCTTCTACCCCCGTCCGGTGCGTTTGCGTCATCGCGAGTATTCCAGGGATCCATCCTCTCTCCTTTTTATCCGCCATAAAGAGAGTTGTCGTCCACGAGACGGGCTCGCCCCGGAGACTCGTTACGAGGGGTCGCGACTCTTTCTCTCTCTCCCCTTTGCCTCGGAATTTTCATATTCAAATAATACTCGACATTGAGCGGATGTTTCAGCTAAATGCACGAGGTGGAGGCCCACTTGCGCGCGCGAATAAACGTTTGAGGAAAATAAAATAACGTCTCGGAATCGAACGTGTTATTCGCCGCCGGAAGATAAACGGGGCCCCCTACGCTCGCTCGCTCGCTCGCTCTCTTCGTGAAAATTTTCGCTATTTTTCCAACATGAATTTAAGCTCTCGCGGCGGAATAGGTTCTCTCTTTTTCTACTTGCGCTGCCGCGTGCCAAAGTATACATCCTGTAAGTAGGATACTTGTATTAGCCGTCTAAGCGGCTTGAACGAGTCCCCTCGCTCGCGGGTAATAGATATACTTGGATGTCAATACAAACTTGCGAAATGGCGAATATGACGGGC